ATCTCCCGGCGAGACCGGGCACAGATTCCCCCTTCCTCCCCAGCAGCAGCTGCTCAGCCCACACCCGCCCCCGCCACGGCTGATGGCCCCGGTGACGGCGAGAAACCCACGGGGGGCAAGAGCAAAGCAGAGCTGCGAGCAGAGCGCCGGGCTAAGCAGGAGGCTGAGCGGGCCCAGAAGCAGGCCAGGAAGGCAGAGCTGAGCCAGGCAGCCACGGCGGGCAAGCCCCGGCAGAGCCCGACTGAGCCCCAAAGCAGTAAGGCTGTCACCAGCACAGGGTGCAGAGGGTGGGTGAAGGGGACGGGAGGGTCTGGTGTGGGTGCAGGTGGAGGATGCCCGTGTGATCATGAGCTCAGCCGTGGGCTGAGTTCTGTCTCTGGGTGCTTCCCTGCCTTCCCTCAATTTGGGGGTGCACCAAAGCAGCTTGGCCTCATCCCAGCTGTCCTTGCAGTGGTGAAGCGGCTGCCAGAGCATGTGCAGGTGGATGACCCCGCTGCACAGAGGAAATTGGCCAAGAAGCTGGAACGGCAGCAGGTAGGAGGAGGAGTGGGTGACAGGATGCACGCCTCGGGCAGCTGTCCTGCAGGAGGCCTGGGGGGCACACGGTGGGACCAGAGCCTGCTCTCCGAAGGCAGAGGGGAACTTTGCATGCCCTGAGCAAGTTCTGGGTATGACTGGTGGCCCTGGAATAAGCAGAGCAGTGGGTGAGCCATCACAAAACTCGGCTGCAGGTACCTCTGAGGCAGGACTATGGCACCAAGGTCAACCTGTTCTCCCACCTCCACCAGTACAGCCGGAAGAAGCCGCTGACACAGCAGATGAGGTACAAGGCCTTCCCAGCCCATGTGTCTGGCAATGCTGGGCTCTGCTTTGGCTGGCGTGGCTGCAGAATGGCTTTGGAGGAGGGGTCTCATAGTCCTGCATGTGGGATACACCTGATGAAATGGTGGGGGATGTTTTGCTTGCTTTGGGGAGTGGCAGTAGGGGCAGCCCAATATTTTTCCTGGAGGGAAGTGCAGGGTCACAGGAGAAGGGGCTGTGGGGTGAGCCTGGCTCCTCAGGTTACCACCAGCCCCTTCCTGGGCCGTCCCTTGGGTTGTTGGGCTGGGGCTCATAAATGGGTTGAGTGTTTTGGGCTGCAGAGGTGCTGACAGCTCCCTCCCACTGGTCCCTGCAGCATCCCCTCCACGGTGATCCACCCAGCAGTGGTGCGCCTCGGCCTCCAGTACTCCCAGGGCATCATCAACGGCTCCAACGCCCGCTGCATCGCGCTGCTCGAGGTCTTCAAACAGGTACCTGAGCAGCTACCTGGCAGCAGGGGCATTGTGCTGCGTGCAGGTGTGTGTTCCTGTACCCTGACTGCTGAGGCTGTATGCGTGGTCAGTCATCATCAGCCTCTTCCTTTGGGTCATGCCACAGCAGGGTCCTTTTCTGGCACTGCCACTGCTGTTTTGAGTCCCTGGAGCACCCTTTGCTCCTCCAAGCAGTGTGTCAGGCTGTGCAGGACGTGTACCTCAACTGCAGCCCATCAGGCAGGGTGCTTGCATACCATGCCCTGAGATCATACTCCCTTTCTACTTGTCTCAGCTGATCCGGGATTACTCCACTCCCCCCAACGAGGAGCTGTCGCGGGACTTGGTGGCCAAGCTGAAGCCACACATCAGGTGAGGGCTCCCGACATCAGAGCAGAGGGACCAAAGCTCCACAGCGTGTGGTCCATTGTTCACATCTCTGGGTTGGTGTCCACCCAGACTTTGTCTGACTTTCCTAGGCTTCTGCCTTCCTGCCCACCCTCCCTCTCCCTGTCTTGGTCCTCCAGGCTGCTTTGGAGCTAAGCCCATTTCTTCTGCAGTTTCTTGAATCAGTGTCGGCCACTCTCAGCCAGCATGGGCAATGCCATCAAGTTCCTCAAGAAGGAGATATCATGCCTGCCTGACACCCTGAGAGAGGATGAGGTGAGTACCCTTGCTGAGTGGTAGGCTCCAGGCCCTGGGTGATGGAGCTGAGCAGGGATGGGATGCAGACTTAGAGCAGTGCTACAGTGGAACTGAAAGCTTGTTACTAGGGGGAAGAACCTGATCCCCACCTGGCTCCAGTCAGGGAGTTGCAGAGAGCAAGGGTTAGGGTTAGAGGTCTGTATGTGATGTGTGCTTCTCCCCAGGCAAAGGAGAAGCTCCAGGACATGATTGACAAATACCTGCGAGAGAAGATTGTCCTGGCAGCTGAGGCCATCTCAAGGTCTGCCTTTGAGAAGATCAATGACCATGACGTGATTCTGGTGTATGGATGGTGAGCAAGAAGCACAGGCAGCCAATCTGGTGGGTAGGAGGAGGGAGAGGAACAGTGTGGGAGGTGAGGCTGTGATGGTCCTGCACAGGGCTCAGCGCTATCAGTCCTACCTGATGTCTGAAGTTGGATTCCAAAAACCCCAGAGCCACAGCTCCCTCCACCCTGGGCACTTGCAGAACAGCAGGGTTGTTCACTGGATTTTAAACAAACTGCAACAAAGTCAAATGTCAGGAAGCAAAAATACAGAAATTTGGCATCCCAAGAACTAGAGGTGGGGAAAAGAACAACAGATTGCTGCAGCAGGAGCCCAGGTATGCTGTGTATGCTGGGCAGAGGAAGGAGCAGGGGCAGGAGGCCAAGGCAGGCCTGGAGTCGTGTGAGAGGGAAGCTGGGAGAGGGTGTGGAGTGGCAGAGTCCCTTGTGCTGGTCACAGACAAGGAGGTCAGTGCTGCTTCCAGGGAGGGCTGAGACATCACCTTTCCCAGGGGTGCTTCCTTGTGCAGAGACAGGGAGACGGGCCCTGGGAGCCATCACGGCAGGAGGGTTCTGGAAGGGGCAGCAGTCTTGAGGATGAGGGTGGATATCGTGGCCAGGTGGGAGCCTGGTCTGGTAGGAGGGGCAGCTCCTGAGCGGTGCCCATCAGCTCCTCGCTGGTGAACCGGACGCTGTGCGACGCCCACGCCAAGAAGGGCCGCGCGTTCCGCGTGATCGTGGTGGACAGCCGGCCGCGCCTGGAGGGCCGGGAGACGCTGCGCCGCCTGGTACGCAAGGGCATCCACTGCACCTACGTGATGATCAACGCCATCTCCTACGTGTTGCCTGAGGTGAGGGGCTGTGCCAAGGGCGAGGGACGCTGCGGTGTGATCAAAGATGCTGAGAGATCCCTGTGCTTCACTGACAGGTGTCCAAAGTGCTGCTGGGAGCCCACGCGCTCCTGGCCAATGGCTCTGTCATGTCCCGGGTGGGGACCTCGCAGATCGCACTGGTCTCCAAGGCCTACAACGTGCCTGTCCTGGTCTGCTGCGAGACCTACAAGTTCTGCGAGCGGGTGCAGACAGATTCTTTTGTCTCCAACGAGCTGGGTATGGCTTCTGTCCCTTTCCTCCCACATGGGACCTTCTCTCCCAGTGCCTGCTGTGGACCATGACAGGCTGCTCTGCCCCGCTATTCCTCTTCTGGCCAAGGGGCTGTCATTTGCAGGCAGGGCACCTGGTGGTGTGTGCTGCTTCAGGGGCAGGATGGAGCAGTGCTGTCCCTCCCCCTGATCCTGATGGCTTCTCCACTTTCTGCAGATGACCCTGATGACCTGATTGTGCTCCGGAAGGGCCAGGCCCAGCTTGAGGGCTGGGCAGAGAACAAGTCCCTACGCCTTCTTAACCTGGTCTACGATGTGACACCCCCAGACCTGGTGGATTTGGTCATCACAGACTTGGGCATGATCCCCTGCACCTCAGTGCCTGTGGTCCTGCGTGTTAAGAATGTGGATCAGTAGTCGGAGCAGCTGTATGGACACTAATAAACCAGGCCCCCGGTACTCTGTGTGTGCCATCTGTGGTGTGGCAGAGCCCTGGCATCCGTGTCGTCCATGGCACCACTGGCACAGCTCTGCACCTTCCTCGGGCCCCTCCTCCCACTCCATGCTGCAGCACAGACGGGTCTTCCCTGTCCCTAGGCCCCTCGTCTGGGGGAACGATGACACTGTGGTGATGGCCCCTGGTTTACCCTCCTCGGAGATTTGGTGACACTCGGGCTGTGCTAGCGGAGCTGGGCTGGTGTGGGAGAGCC